GACAGACACCTTGCTCTGACGATGGAAGCGCGAGAGCTTTTGAAACGTCAGCCGGAATATAATTTGGTCTCAGAAGTCGTCTGCTCTTCTTCCTCTTCCGGGGAGTATGTAAGGAGTATTTTATCTGGACCTCTTATTTTCTCGCATACAAATTTTAAAAATTTAAGGAAAGCATTCTCATTTCAGAATTTAGGTAGAGGTGATCTATAGGGACAATATCTCGTGAAAAATGTAGGCAAGGCTGTTTGGAGCATGCTAAAAGGGTTCCGAAATTGTATATAGAACCTTTTATGTAGTTGTTAATCGGTGGCATTGCGTTTTATATCTTGCAGTATTCGCAAACTATGCTGAAGCATTGCATGCTGTTGATCCTATACGCAAGCCATCCTAGAGTAGCCTATAGCTGGTCAGGCTAAGGTGGCAAATGCTACGCTGATTAGCCTTTTAATGTATTGTACGCTATACCAGCCATGGAATCTTTAGGTTTTTCGAAGAACATAAGGAAACCATTTCAAGGCCGTTCTGCGTCCACTCAAGAGAAAGTTAATATGGCAACGCTATGGCCGATTAAGAGATATTCTCCAAATGAGTGGTAAGAAACTCAAAGAGAGACGAATTTAATTTGGGGATGGACGTAAAAACAAGGCAAACCTTAAAGGCAGCCAAATGCTTGCCGTCATTGTTCCGTCACATTTTTTTGTGTATGCGCCTCTGCTATGCCAAAGTTCTGCCAATTAGAGATAACAGTGACCGTGCGACCGTGACCTCGAAGGCCTCCGGCCAGCATGCACTCACATCCCTCGTTTGCATGGCCTACCAAATATCCACTAGGATGGCCTGCCAGTTCATTCGATTCTGGACATGCGCAAATCACCCTACCACGCGATAGCGAAGTGGTAAGCGGATAAACTCAAACCCCTACAGCAACAGCTGGCACTTAGAAGCTATCAAGATACTTTCAAATTTATCGAAGACCTTAAGGACATAAACTTAAACGGCTTGATGATGCTCCCCCTAGATGCCTCATTGCCGTTTACAAACGTCCCGGTCACAGAGACA